TTTTTGTATTGATATTGCAAAATACATTTCTTATTAGTTGCAAGAGACCTTGTTTACATATTGTTGATGAGGTGCATGCATTGAATTTATCAATGTTCAAGAAAGCGGAAAGCGTAAGCGAAGCGGAAGGCCACAGCTTAGAGCAATGAGCGCTTAAGCGCAGCTTAATCGCACTTAAGCGTTTTTTGAAATTGGCTAGAATTTGACAGATTTTGAATGATATACACATGAAAATAGGAAGCTTGTCACATGGGTAATTGAAGTAGCATCTGAAATACAGTTCACACAATAGCAAATACATATCAGGTTCGCATAGCAAGCAAAATAACAACAAAAATGCAGTTCAGTTCAAATAGACGTAACCTAACAGATATCATGTGGACAGAATTTTGCCAAAATATGAAGGAAATAGTTCTTGAACATAGCCTAGTAATAAGACAAATAGCATATTGCCATTATTGCACAAGCAGACCAGCAGAAGTAGTACAAAAATTGCCAAATTTTGGTCAAATTTAAATAAAAAACGCTTAATCTACCGCTTAGGGCAAAATCGAAGCGCTTTGCCATCGCTCAGCGCTTAATCGCGCTTAAGCGTCGCTTAAAAACGCTTTCTTGAACACTGGAATTTATCATTTGATATTGGACACCGCAAGTCATTATCTGCCATTTAGTGTGTTGAGGCCATGGGTCATAAACTTGGTTAAGACTATGCAATGTATAGTAGTCTTCTTCATGCAATTTTGAACTTAATTCAGTTCACAAATGCTGATATTCTAACCACTTCTACAATAAGTACATTTAGTTAGCTTGGTTTACTACAAGTCATATAACTCTAGGTTAGCTATTCTCAGTGGATCTTCGCATAGCAAAGTTGCCTCAGTTTACCATTCACTTTCTTACACTGAATCTTCTATGCACAGGTGGTGGAGGATGGATATGAATTCTTTGCAAAGCGTCAGCTCGTAACCATATTCTCTGCACCCAACTATTGTGGCGAGTTCGACAATGCTGGTGCCATGATGAGCATAGATGATTCACTAACATGCTCATTCCAGATCCTTAAACCTTCTGATAAGAAAGGGAAAGCTGGAACCGGCAACTCAAAACCTGGAACACCGCCTAGGAAGATAAAGATTAATATTATTTAGGCAGACCCTTCCGGTGCGAAATGAGTTATTGTGATGGAGCACACCCCCCAAAACTTGTTATGAAGGTGCGCTGAACAACGTGTTGAAAATGTCAACCTGCATGCTGTTGTTTTTTCGTGGTCTGATGCAGATCTGTCCTGCCATTCTGGAAAAGATCAGAGCAGGAAACATAACTGGGAATTTTGTGTGGATTTCTTATTCCTTTTATTAACTCTGCTATGCGTGGCAAAATGTTTAAGCACGGGAGGCGTCAGGAACTTCATCCTGTGGTGGAGATTGCCATTCTGCTGAATGTAGATTCTGTTATGTTATGTACGCTGTTTTATCTGTAAAGCTTGTCTCTGCAAATGACTTGCTAGCTTTAGTGAATGTGTTTTGCTGATGCTGATGGTAGAGAATGACTGGTATTTAATAGCACCAAGTTTGCCGAGGGTTGCGGTAGGGTTAGGTGCTTTGTCATTTCTATTTAAACATGCGATTGAGGTTTCTCTTACTTTTGCGATGTTGATGTTTATAGGTCATTGGGTATTTCGGAGATTCATAAACCCAATGAACTCCTGATACCCAGCAGTTTCTTCCAAGATTTTGATTTATCATTTGCACTCTGCCCATTGAGATTCTAGTCTTCAGCTCTTCCTATTGAATCAGTTTGTTACCTTGCAGTCTTCAGCTGCAACCACTAATTGTTTGGCTATATGTCGTTTGAGCTCTAAAGTCCTATTCTAATCCGAGCTCAAATGCATCCTGTGAACATTAAAATAAAAAAGTAAACAAATTCAAACAATTCTGAGTTTTTTTGTGGTAAACTTTAACAAATGTTTTGTATGCTTGCAAAATTTGAGCATAAAATTATATTCGTGGAAATCATGGCAAAAAAAAATCAGTACTCTTAAAAAATGTTTTCAAAACTACTACCCATTCCGTAATGTCAGATTTTTTTTTACACTATTCTACTGTCAAGAAATGTTTTACATTATGGGCGGGGGAGTAGCATTTTTGGAGCATCGATTTTGCTATTTTTTGCCATGGCTTTCACAAAACATTTTGGCGAGCATACAAAACATTTGTCAAGGTTTACAAAATAAATCAGTTTTTTTTAACCATTTTTTTGATTTTATGTTCACCATGGTGCATTTGACTTCGGGAGCAGATACTCCACGTCCGTTTGAGCTGTCACTTAATATTGGAAGGAACTCAAACTACGATATGTGTGCATCCAAACCTGCCTAACCAAATCAAGCTTTGTTGATTCAGTCAGTATCAACTTCCCTATCTTAATATGTTTCTAACCAACTTATCTCTAGTTTGGTTACTGTTTCCCACAACAGATTATAAATCAAACACAGCATAATGCACGCTAGCAACAACAATCTGAACCCAACTGTTCCTAGCCATGTCCCTCTTTGTTCCACCCCTCTTCTTGTCGAGTATATGCCATTTCTTTTAGTTTCTCGACTATCGATAAACTGATTACTTTCTTTTTTAGTGCTCTTGGACGTAGATATGTGTGGTGGCTTTCCACTTTCCGATTTTTTTTTTCTTAGTGGATCGTTGAATATAATGAGAAACATAGGAATGAGGTAGTAACTGGGAAATTAAATGGACTTGCTTACATGCCAACCTATATGCCTACATACATTTTAGCTAGATTCATAGCAGCACAACACACAAGGTGTTTTACTCGTGAAGGGGCACTAGTAAGCTGTGAGCGCAATCATTTTAATAAGGGGATTAAATATTTTACATTGTAAGTGTAAGCACCACTCAAAAGGAAGGTGGACCCCTTCACGGTCAAAGAAAACCTTTAAGGTGGCAACTAACGAATATATAACTGTAGCTTAAAGAAATATAGTACTTTTGATTCTCATTTAGAATTCTTTTAAGGCTCAGTAAACTTCTGAATAGCCATATTTTTTAGTTTAGTGGAAAGTAACTTCCACCAGATTTTATTGAAAAGTACAACCCCAGTTTATTGAAAAATGTAACATCCACTTGATATCTAAAAGGATTAACTTTCTCTCCACTAGTATTAAAAGAGCAAACATAAATTCCTCTAAATCGACACAACAAACTGTACACGAGAAAACCAGAACCCTCTCATCAAATCAACTTCATATCCTACTGCCCATATTATGTCAATGGTATGCCACTCAGATCAACGTCTCTGATCAAATGTTCTGCCAACCAGACGCCGTGGTTTGCCAATCATCCTAATACTCCGTGTCCTTGATCCGCTCCTGCAACTCTTGATTTACGATCGATTCCAACCTTAGGCCTCATTGACCCTTCTTTCTCTAGGCACCAGAACAAGAAGAACGGATCCGCAAGAACCTTCCGCCGCCGCTCGTCCCTTCTCCCGTCCCGTGCGCTTCCCTGTTGATCTGTTTCTTTCTCCTTCCCCTTCCACAAGGCAGAGACGGCTAGTGCACATGTGTGGGTCGCTTCAGTTCTAGTGCATGCATGAGTGCTGCGCTTGGTGCGGGGGAGATGGCGAGTCGAGGGGAGCGCGGTGGTGGTCGAGCAAACACCGATGCTGCTCAGGCAGAGCATGGTGGTCATGGTGATGGGCCATATTACGGAGGCCGCGGTGGTGGACCAGGCGGTGGCAATCCCAATGATGGTGCTGGTCGTGGACGCGGATACTACCAAGGACAGGGAAGCGGTGACTGTGTCGGTGGTGGCGACCGTGGTTACTACCAAGGAGATGGCATTGGACGTGGGTACAACCAAAGAGGTGGTGATCACAACAGTGGCCGTACGTACTACCAAGGAGGCCGCAAGAGCTTGTACACTATCGGTGAGCTGTTGTTCAACACTAAGGAGTTTGAGGTGACCTTACCTGCCTACAAGCCAGGTCCATCTGGGCAAAGGTAAACTCAGTTTGTCAGTGAGTGTGCCCCACGACATGACAAGATGAGGTGATCAGGTTCCCCATGACATGTATATTTTCAGGAGGGAGAGGAAGTTCAAGGTGACTATCAAGCACGCCGCCTTGGTCAGCCTACAGCAATTCCAGATGCTCATGGACGGGATCTCCACAGACATACCAGCGTAGCCGCTGCACGTGCTCGACATTGTGTTGCGCGACATCGTACTCAACAAATGGAATAACATGGGTAACAACAGCTCTCTGCCCTTTGCATCGTTAGTCGTTATCGATCATTTTGCATGCCTTTTTTTATTTGTTGGGGGCTTGTCGTCACTGTGCGCCTCAGGTTTGTCCCGGTAGACCAGTCTTTCTTCTCATAGACCATCAAGGAACCCATCAAGTTAGGCCAGGGTATCGACGGATGGAACGGGTTCTACCAGAGTATCAGACCTACCCAGAGTAGATTGTCCGTCAGCGTAGGTCTGTGACATGTATTCCTTGCATTCTCTTTCCACTTACCTGCAACATGTTACACCACGATTCATGAATGATGGGGAAATATTCGGACTTGCCAATTAATGTATTCTGAAGTTTGGATTGCAAACATGTCATCAACTGATTTCATCACGGAGGTTATTAATAGGAGAGATGTCATTCACAACATTGATGAACTTGATTATTTTAAGATATGCATATTTTCGTATCTACCAGTTCTCTCTCATCGTGCTCTCTCATAGATGATAATATCATGCTCTTAGCACCAGTTTTCACTTCGTGTAGCAGCTTCTTCTTATTTTGTCTCCTCAAACACTTCATCGATGAGAACCAAGTTTTGATCAATGAAATATTCTAAAAGTAAGAGCAACTCTATTAATTTACGTACCTTGTCTTCAGCCACCATGTTTTCTTCGAAGGGTGAAGGCGTATTCTCTGAACCTAAAGTAAGGGCGAAGGATACATGCAATATGCCAGGTCTAAAGTTAAGTAGCACATACATAGAAAATCAGAGTAAATCTTAGAGAGTCTCCATAATCAAGAGTTCTCAGTTTCTTAATCGGTGTCTATCTTATAAGATACTGGTGTAGCTTAAGGTGCTGGTGCTCCACCCCACTCTAAGAAGTATGACTGTGATTTGCTAATACCCAAATGGGTAGTTACTGCTCGCTCCCCTTCATAATTCAGACTTGTTTGAACACACAATCTTCCTATAACTTCCTCGCCTGGATCCAACCAAAGAAGGAAGATGTATGGCCTCCCTCAAACAAAAGAAGGAAGTAAGGGAGTATACCGGTAGGCAATGACCACAACTGAAAAGTGCTTAGCTCAAAGAAAGAAGGTAGTGGGAGCTTCGAAGGCATGTCCCCCTTTGTTACACACCTCTTCTTGGTGAGTATGTGTCATTCTTTTAGTTTCTCGACTATTGATAAGATGAACACTTTCTTTTTAGTGCTCTTGGACGTAGATATGTGTGGTGGCTTTCCACTTTTTGATTTTTTTTCTTAGTGGATCGTTGAATATAATGAGAAACATAGGAATGCGGTGTATTTGCATAGACATTTTCTTTGTTAAATATTTGTATTTGACAAATTTGTTGAGTTGTACGGTTTGGAAGATAGTAACTGGGAAATTAGATGGACTTGCTTACATGCCAACCGATACGCCTGCATACATTTTAGCCAAGTTCATAGAAGCGCAACACACAAGGCATTTTACTCGTGAAGGGACACTAGTAACCTACAAGCATAGTCATTTTATAAGGGGATTAAATATTTTACATTGTAAATGTAAGCACCACTCGAAAGGAAGGTGAACCCCTTCACGGTTAAAGAAAACCTTTAAGGTGGCAACTAATGAATATATCACTGTAGCTTAAAAAAATATAGTACTATTGATTCTCATTTAATTTTTTTTAAGGCTTAGTAGACTTCTGAAAAGCCATAATTTCAGTTTAGTGAAAAGTGTAAATTCCACTAGATTTTATGGAAAAGTACAACCCCAGTTTATTGAAAAGTGTAACATCCACTTGATATCTAAAAACATTAACTTTATCCCCTCTGGTATTAAAAGAGCAAACATAAATTCCTATAAATCAACACAACAAGCTATACACGAGATAAACAGAACCCTCCGATCAAAGAAACTTAAGCATATCCTACTACCCATATGACGTCAATGGTATGCCACTCAGATCAACACCTCTAATCA